ATTTACTGGGAATTTAGTGTCTGCTTGCGGAAAGTGGCGTGACAAAGGTGGTTGGGTATAGCCGGCGCAGTCACCAATCGCGCTACGAGAGTTTTGGTTTTGAGGCTTCATCAGCGCACGCCTGCAAGTATGTTTACATTGTTAAAATAAAAGCAATCACTGCGTTCTTACTCCCTATGGGAGTTACCGTTTCGTGCGCGAAAACGAATGCAACGGTTGCTGAAACTTCATCAGAAGAGATAACAATATAAATATGCATGTTTTTCGATTTGAGTCATTTGACGTCAGCTTTGCATAAAAGTGTGCGTTCTGTATTCCTAGCGCCTCGTTTTGAACCTTTAAAATTCCGGTTCCTGGTGTTAGGACACACACGGACGTTTAGGAAGATGGGGAGAGTTAGGAATGTCGGATGTGCAACGTCGACGGCATGATAGTTTTATGCAGATACATGAAAATTGAGAAATAACGAGTACTGAAAAGCAATATTATTTTGTTTTGGCACAAACTACTTGTGAGCCGAAAACAGGATTGTTATTATTGTAATAATAATAATAGTAACAATAATAATAATAATTTTCTTTGCGCGTAAAGGAAGGGGCCCATGTGGTGGTGTGCGGGGCTAGGCAGATAGGTGAAAACCCTTACGCAGAGCGCCTGCCAGCCCGCCACCACTTGTGAAAAACAAAACAGACATATATATGTACAGAATATACACACTACAGAAAGTAGCTAAAAAGGAAAGAAAAGAAGGGGGAAAATATGTATTACATTAAGACGAGGATGCCAGCTGCATCCCGTATAAATGTCCTGGCTCGCTCTGGTGACTCTGCCCGTTCGACAGAAGTGTGCTGTGCACACTGAGCGTAATTGCCAGTTGTGAGTCAATGTTTCAACTACCTCGTTGCATCGATGAAAAGGTCAAATTAAAATCACGCTTTCCAGATTGCACCGCATCATTTGTCACTTGCGCAGTAAACTGCGTAAATTACTGGTCGATCTTCTGTTCTTGAGGCAGACAATATTGAAGAGAACCACGCTCGCAAAGGCTCAGAAACGCACAGTTACCGTGTTGCCTACTCTGCACCTCGCCGTAACCGCTGGTTGTACTAAACTCTACGATGGTGAGCGCACGACTGCACGTGCTGATCTTTGCTGAATTTGAAGTTCGCCAGATTCATTCCATCACTAATTTTTTGTGGCGCAGACGAGTGACCCCCTAGCAACGACGTTCACGACGGATTGGCTGCTCGGCAACGCGAGGGAACTTAAATTTCGGATTCGGACGGCGCGTGTACACTCGAAGCGCGTTAACCCACCACACCGCCTGCGTTCATGCCGCTTCGCGGCGGCAGTATGCGGCTACTAATTACAAAACTTTAACCCATTTAGCCCCCCCCCCCTTTCCCCCCCCCCCCCCCCCCCCCCCGTACACGCCGCATTGCGGCGTCCAGCCGGCAACCCAAGCCCCGCTGTCCCATACCATTTAGTTCAGCGAAGTTTCGTCGTCAGCATTCGTGTTTTTTAGTGCTAATCGCAAAAAAAAAAAAATGTTGTAAATATCTTAGAATGCCCCGACAAAACAAAATGTTGGAGAGACCAAAAACAGAAGAAGTAAGCCCACACCGTGAATCGAACCCGGGTCTACTGTGCACGTATGAAGCACACATCGTACCACTAAGGTATACGCTACCGCTTTGGAAACGAGCGTTGCAACATATCTCCACATACCATCCAATCCGGTGTGAACGTCGTTGCTGGGGTGTGTATCGCCTGCGCGTTAACAATATGCCACCGCGGGTGGGAGGGCGGTGCCCTTGGTATTCCTTGGGCGCGGCCGGCCAGTGTTTTCCCTGCCCAGTGGCGGCTGTTTCAGGGAGGGGGGTGGGGGGCAAAACACATGCTTTGCCCCCCACTCTGAGAAGTGGGGGGGGGGGGGGGGGGCAATCAGTTTCCGGTACAATCAGCAGCCCATGGCTGCTGATTGTACCGCGAACTGATTAGATTCGTTTCTTTTTTCGCACAAGGAGATCAGACACTCTTTCGAGTGAGTCGCGGGAGTGAAATCTAGGCTCTTTGGACGCAACGCCATTCCGACTTTTGGTAGATTATTTTGCAACATTATGACACAACTCCTTGAAAGAAATGTATGGCATATGTCGTTTTTGTGTTGACGATATAAACAATCTACATGCTATTTGGAAATCGCATCGTACGAAAAATCTCGGAACACGGAAATAGCCGAAAAACAAAGCGATTAAAACCTTTGTTTTTTTTTTGTTTTTTGTTTTTTTATTTGGTGCGAATGAGACAAAGGGCCCACTTTGCGATGGCTTTGGAAGCCCACATCCCCTCTCCGATATCCTCTTTGTAACTACCGAACAATAAACAGCCATTCTGGCAGCTCTCAGGAGGCGCCCTACCCGGAACAACCTTTCCGCTTCGGCCATCTTTCGTTATCAATTGGGTCGGTTCGCTTGTATTGTTCGTTAACAGTTGGTTAGGTTCAAGTGTCCAATGTCTGTCCTCCTTGCTTCACCTCACTTCTCCCTCTCCCGAAACAACGTTGGAGACACGGCACCGTAAGATAAAAGCTGTGTCAGGGAGAGCTCACCCGAACATTAATAGCTTCATGGATTTGATCAAACGGGATGAGGCCTTCACGAGACATAATTAAAAATAAAACAACGCAAATACGAGAACAAAGTAAAAGATAACCGACAGGATACAGCACTGTGTCCTGTCGGTTATCTTTTACTTTGCCCATCGTATTTGCGCCATTTTGTTTTTAATTATGTCTGCATATCAATTGTAGCCCAAACTTGTACGTTAATCAACCTTGACAAGGGTACCTTCGCAGCAGCTTGCAAATGGTGGTGCCGTGCGGGCCAGGGGACAGCAGCGAACTATCAAAATCGGAGTGCAGCCTTTCAGATGGTGCGATTATCCTGCTCGACGTCCTCAACAAAGGCGATAGCATTTTGTAGTTTATGGATTTTTCCTGTGAGCACGAGGGTTTTGTGTTTGAACTCGTAAGAAAATGAAGTCGCAATCATATGCCCGGTCAACTTGTCTAATTTCTCACTCTTCAACATATCCCGTTCACTATAAGGAAGTTTTAGAATAACGTGCGTAAGCGCTTTGGGAAACCTAAAAATAGCGTCGCGATTATAAAGCCTAAGGCAGCGCTAATTTTTGTTTACTCAAAGTGCTTGAGCGCGACACTGCTTGCGCGAACAAGCGATTGTAGTTTTTCGCAGTTTGTCTCATAGAATGAAATGACTGCCATCAGTATTATTAGTGTCTTTGAAAGTGCTCATCTGGGCCACTATCCTCAGCGGTATACAACTTGGTACCTTCTAACACCATTTCGAAGTAACATTTTAACAATCGTCTACATCGTGTTCGCGGTAACATTGTCGCGTTTCGCAGTCCCACATTTTGGGGACCATCTTGACAGAAACATTTCAAGTGGTTCAAGTAGAAATATCTTTCGTTGGAGCTTGTCTGAAAGTGATGTATATCTTAAGAATACGTTGACAATAAAAACTAGTTCACAACATAAATAAATAGCTCGCCGGCACCTTTGCTTTAATTGCGTTAACGAAATTTCGGCACCTATTTTTAAGGAGAAAATGTGAGCAAACCAGGGTTAGAACGATGGAGACTTTTCGCGGAGAGGGTGAGATGTGCGGGGCTTTATACCAATGTGTTTACACGGGACGGGTGCAAACGTAAAGGCGTTTCGGGAACGGGTTGAAAAGGGACAGGTTCAAATGGGAAGGGCGATTCGGGAATTCTCCAATATGAGCCTCAGCCGGTACACGGAAGCAGTCTTCCGGAGCTGGTCGGAGCGTTCGTCACGGTGCCCCGCTGTGTGTGCCGCCGAGTGGATTTTCTGCTAGTCGCCCCATTTTGTGCAACTTCTGTTCTTGTGAAAATGGGCGTGAGGTGCAAAGTGCTATTCATCCGATCCTATCAACAACAGGCATCGGACGGCATTAAGCAGGTCCGACCCCATCAAGCGCCCTAGGCAAACTCCTGCCGTAACGCCCCCGGCGCCCCGTTCCCTTCGCTTTTTTTATACGCCCCTATCTACGACATCACGTAGTCAGTAAACATGTGAGTAGTGTTCCAAAACAAGTTTTCTTTTTTTTTTTTTTTCTGACAAGAACCGCCGTGTTTAAATAAATTAGTAAGCTAAAAAAGCTTTCAAATGGGGGCGCAGCGGCGCAACCCTTTTGATGGCTTCCTGGGCAGCATCACGGGTCGCCTATCCCCGGTCCTGGTATAAAGTCCTGGATATCGAAAAAATATGATGCTCTTTTTTTTCTTTTGGGCTAATTTGAAAGAGCAACTATTTTCTGCGGTTGCGGTCGTCACGAACGTTTACAGTTAGGGTCGATAGGTCCTTCTCAGTGCTCCATTTTCTTTTTTTTTTTACTAACTGTCCGTAAGCCCAGTTTGCCCGCTTAATCCCGTTTGGAATGTGTCGTTAGCCTACTGTTGTACTTATTGATTTGTGTTCCCTACACCGCGGCTTCGACTTATCATGAATATATCTATCCTTTTCACCCATAAGAGCGTCGCCTCTTTTACTATTAATTACACTAAACTCGGTCCTAAAATTTCTCCACCAGATAACCCTAGTTATATTGTCCTTGTAATTTTTTATCAATTTAGTCATGTACGGACCGCTTCGTGACCTACCTTTAATATCCCTGCTTTAAGTGCGCTTGAAACTGGGTTTTAAGTGCTTTCAGAACAAACTCATGAAAAAATCAGAGAAATCGGCTCGCAATCTCCACTCTGCGCGTGCCCAACAGAGTGCACTGGTTCGCCGACTTTCTAAAAGATTTAAGTGGGAGAGCCCTTTGCAGCATTCTCAAGAAGGGGTATACTGTAATTTAATGCATTATGCCCCATTTTCTTGGGAGTACCTTTAAATACTCCCAAGAGTGTATCCGTTCAGAGAGGGAGAAAATTTGTCGACACCTGGTGACTTCTTTGCTCAAATTAGTGTTTTATTCAATCAGCTTATCGCAAACCCCTTATGGTCGTGCAAAAAATTACTACATTTACTACAGCACAGTCAATAAAACCAGTTTTCAAAATAATGATCATGCAACAAATCTTACAAACTAATAACTTACAAAGATGTTAAACGGTTGTCTGAGTTCATATCCTTGGCCGTTCGCTCTCAAATGATATTGCAATTCAAATTGGCGTAAAAGTAACGTTCGTTCTCGTTTGAAAGTAACCATAACGGTATATCGTTAACGTTCGTAGGACGGTGACGAATCTCAGTTGCCCGTAAAGTTTTGACGATCAAACGAGTGACGCTATTTTCTTACATGTTTTCTGTAACGGGCACACCGGTGCTTTGGTCCCACTGGTGCAGAAAGCCCAACACCCAATATCTTTGCACGGCCCCTTGAAGCTGACAGTGCGGCGGGAGCTACATATTTGCCGGACCAGACAACCAACTCGTTTTCATCTCCTGACCACGCACTCTGCGTGTATATGGCTGGGAGCACGGACATGCTCGTGCTCATAGGTTCTACGACAAAGTCACCTTACGCCTTTTGCACATGCCACCAAGGAAAATGTTTAGCGTTCAATATAATTGGGTAAGTAATTTTGAACGAATAAATTGCACATTATTGATTTGAAGGGCCAGGTTTCAAATAGAATCTTGCCGTTATGATCAAAAACTACTAAAAACACCCACGCTACAATGGTACGATCGAGGCACGCGCAGCATTTTACGGCGTTCCGAAGAAATGCTCAATTTGGACGCGTATCTTGGTTTCGCTTTCTTATCGGAGCACATCTCCGTGCCGGCAATCCCGCCCCCCGTGTCTAAGACGCGCAACGTGCGTGCGCCGCCACTCATTGTACGTAGAGTAGTCTATATATGAAAGCCTCCGGACTGTCACATAAGGTCTGCCTTTTTGACATCGGTGTCAGAGTGAAGACGCACCTTCACCAATATTATCTTTAAAACTAATATTTAACAATTTAAGTACTCGGAATTTGTTAAATATCCCATCATATTCAGCTCTAGCAATCTTCCTTTCACACAGACCACTACGGCATCGGGCTTCTTTATTGTGCGATGCGTAGTTTTCGCAGTAGCGATTTTGCACATTTTTCCGGAAACACCCCGTATATGTCAAACAAATATTTTATACGTTTGGGAACAGGACTCTCCCTCCTTCAATTCTGGCGCATCAGGAAAAAGTGACAACCAGTGTACAGTCAGCGCAGATTAACACATATTTAGATGGATTATACATATGTAGTTTTTAGGTACATGAATATACACAATGGAGTCAATTACGCCTTTAGTACAACAAATGTATGTGATCCGTCTGCTACAAGAGAAATTTCGAATATTTAAAAGCCTGACGAAATCAAGTGAAACTATACTTCGTTTAAGCTCAGGTCCGAGCGTGGCCGATGTTATGAGCCGAAGGGCCAGTCAAACGGCGAAAAAGGCACAAAGCCATGGCGAGTTCTCTGCAGTTCATAGGACTATAGGAGTAGCCGGTATTCGCCATCTCTCTGTGCGTGCTTTTCCACCGGCTAGTCCTATCAAGCGCAGAGAGCACGCCATGGCGTTGCGCTTTTTGCGCTGTTTTATTGGTCCCCCGGCTCAAAACAATGTCCGCGCTCGTACCTAAGGTGCAACGGAGTATATATGAACACCAAATGTATACCACTGAAAATATGAATATCCTAAATGATGAGCACCGTCTTCGTGAATGTGCAAAAAAAGAATAAAGTCATGCAAAAGGAAAACATACATACGAGTATTTCATGTAGCAAGCACATTGAGTGACGACATCAGAATTCAGATAGTCAAACTGGTCAAAAAGAAAAGGACGAAGAATATTACGAAATGAGATAGGAAATTACACTTCATTTCTAAATATCCGAGTCATGTATATTCTGTTGCCGTCCTATGAGCAAAGCATTAGTTTCCAGCTTGGTGTGCTAAATTGTTTCGAATAATGTTCTATTTTTACATCTTAAAATTATGTTGACCCCTCCACATTACTCGGTTGTTCTCATACTTTCTTAACATTTGCAATATTTAAGATTGCTGCTATTGAAAGACCTTCGTTATTTTATAAGTTTGTATATTTATGGTCATGAGTAGGCCGACTTGTAAGGAACATAAGTGACCCTACAGACAACACAGACTCCAGGTGCATCACGACATTAATGACTAAATGAATAAAAAAAGATAAGGCTTCAAATATTTTCTTTTTTTCGTGTACAAAAAAGACCTCTGGTCGCTTCGACTAAGGTAAATTCACATTTTTTATCTGCATTTGCTCGATAAATAACAGGCTGAAACATTTTGAACCAGCGAAACACACACTGCTCGCAAGTAGAACCGCTGCAGGTCTATCGCCAAGCCAAATGAACACACGTCGGTGCTCGAGTATTTCGTTTAAATCCCCTCCGCAACTATGATGCACGTTGCTGTTTCGATCACTTGCGATGTATCTTCCGATGAGTGTGTAAATCGCTATAAGCCGCAAACGCTCTACTGCAGGTCTCGCACTTGAACGGCTTCTCTCCTGTGTGAGTCGTCTCATGAACCGCCAAGCTGCATTTATGACTAAACGCCCTGCTACACTTGTTGCAGTTGAACGGCTTCTCTCCAGTGTGAATTCTTTCGTGATCCGCCAAAGTGCGTTTCAGAGTAAACGCCTTGCTGCACGTGTTGCACTTGAACGGCTTCTCTCCGGTGTGAGTCCTCTCATGATTTACCAAGTTGGTTTTCTTAGTGAACGCCTTGCAGCACGTGTTGCACCTGTACGGCTTCTCTCCTGTATGAATTCTTTCGTGATCCGCCAAGCTCCATTTATGACTAAACGCCCCACTGCACGTGTTACACTTGTACGGCTTCTCTCCAGTATGAGTTCTCTCATGATTCGTCAAGCTGGTTTTCTGAGTAAACGCCCTGCTGCACGTGTTGCACTTAAACGGCTTCTCTCCGGTGTGAATTCTAACATGAGCTGTGAAGCAATCCTTACGCGCAAATGTTTTCTCGCAGGCATCGCAACTGAAGGGCCTCTCGCCAGTGTGAGTCCTCTCGTGGATTGCGACATCCGCTGCGGAAGAGCTTGAGTGAGGACAGAAGCGGCACGGGTGCTTGTCCGGTCGTCGGTGCGTTTGCTGCTTGTGTGGGCCTGAATTGTTGGTCTGGGTAGAGGTGTCAATCCTGCGGCTGTCATGGTCAAAGGTATCCACTTTGTCGCCACAGCCTGCTCCTATCCAGTCTGTTGGGATGACATGACAGAGCAAGAAAGGTCGGCGCATTTTTAATTGTTCTGAACATGGTCCAGTATACCTACATTATGCCGGTGCAGCCTACAGTGGCTATTCGTTCATTTGAGATCTTAAAAGGTTAATTCGCAAAGCTTGTAAATGTCTACAGGCGATCATTAAAGACTCGATTCTGGCAGCCCCACGGTGCGGCAGCTGTGGTGGCTTGCATGTTCTGCTAACCAAGCGCAGAAGGGAAGTCAAGCCGCCGCGGTCGTTGCTGCACAGTGTTGGCGGTAACGTGTTACAAGTAACGTCGTTACCGGTAACGCCTTTCTTTTTTCAGTAACATGGTAACGTAATTGTTACTTTTCCAACACAGTTACGGGTAACGTACTTGCGTTAGTTATTTCAAGTAACGGATAACGTAATTACGTTACTCGTTACATCTTCCAAATACTTGAAAAACGATGTTAGCACAGAACGAGCGGGTTGGTAGGGATAATTAAACTTGAGGAAGAAAACGTGTTTGTCCCTCCCTTTTTGTTTTTTCCTCAAGTTTAGTTGAAAAACGAACACCTGTACTTTTTTGCCCGTTTCTATACTTCGTTTTACCTGAAGTCCAGACGCAGCTGACGCTACAAGCTGATGGAAATTATCAGAGAGAGGGAAAAGAGAACCATTATGGTGTTCTCCGTGTTTCTGTACTTGTTCAATCTTTGCTGAACCAACCATAAACATTCATGGCCCAGTGACTTGTGATTTTGACACTGCTTGATTTGTTCCATTAGCTCGTAGCGTCGGCTGCGTCTAGATTTAAGCTGTAACGTAGTACATGATTGAAGTAATTAATTATTTCACTCATTGTACATATTTTCAAAAATTTTCCTCTCTTTTTCCCACGCAGGAATTTCCACTTTAGAAAATCTCCAACTCCCGCGCCCGTCATCCCAGTGTCGAAAAACGCTGTCACCAAAATAAAACAAAAACGCTGTTACCGTCAATTTCTAAATAAAAAGTAACGCAAAAGTAACGTGCGCTACTTTCTGTCGGTAACGGTAACGCGTTCGTTTATTTGACAAGTAACGAATAACGCATCTTTCCTTTTTTACGGTAACGCCTATAACACTGCGGCTGCATAACACTGCCTGTACGGAACGCTGGGTGATAGCGTGTTGACATTCATAATGATTGTGACTGTGTATTAAGTAGCGCTGAAAGGGTCATTCACACACCCACAGATTATTATGTTACACAAAATAACATTCATTAGGCTCGTAGAATAATCGTTGCGTAGCTTTGAAACTTGAAAAATCGCTAAGTTACACACCGAATATTTTACGAGCGATTTAAACAGGGAAAAACGCGGTTCTATATCGACAATGATGTGGACAGTTGCCAGTCTAAAGCTAAACTTCGGCGACACAAATAATGGTGCGAGAAAAAATTCAATCATTTGAAACACCGAACATTTATTGGGCTATTTCATTCATTAAAGTCATTTATACCCTATTGGAAAACCCCAATATAAACAGCATATTATGGATATTGGTAAACAATATATTTTTATTGTATTGCAATACAATATAGACAGTGTATTGGAAAACATTACATTTATTGTATTGTATTACAATAAGGATTTGTTATGGGATTCCAATATCCATAATACGCTGAAAATATTGAAATCCAATACCGTATAAACCCTTATTGGATCCCCATGTGTAGTATGGGGATCCAATAAGGGTTTACGATTCCAATATACTCAGCGTATTATGGATATTGGAATCCAATATATTATATCGGCTACCAATAAAACTATATGCGAGTTGGAATATCACGTTCAGCACGACATTTCTTTGCAACGCAGTCTCTTCTTGTGTGTATTTCTGAGTGATAAAATAAAAAGTGTTGTTGTTGTCAAATTATGAATAAAGAAGCAAAACACTGGGCTTATCCATACCAAATATATTTAACATATTCCTGAACTGGAGGATCTGGCATTTACTGCAAAAGAAAGTTACCTGTTTAGGACCCTCATTCAAAAACTTGCTGTTTGAAAACAGAATGTGAAATCCTCACCTTTTAATGAAAGCAGCACCTGCTGGCTGTAGCCATATAGAAACTGCAAAATAAAAATTAGTGATTAGTTTGCAACAAGTAGCAATCCTTCACTAAGCCCGATAGATTCAAAATTATGTCTGCGTTTGATTGTGGAAAAATAAGCTTCCATTCCACTGCCACGGATCATTCTGAGCTCCGTCAATTAAATAAACCTATCGGCTCGTCTGGCTTCACAGTTCCTGGTTTGCACCTAACTAAAGTATCTAGAATGCTCACCTTTGAGGAAAAACAAACTGGTGCTTGCTTGCTTGTAGGCCATAGAAACTGGAAGAGAGATTTGCGATTAGTTGCGTCCAAGTAGCAACTACATTGAGTAGCCCCGTAAAGTACACTAAGTCGAAAAGATTAAAACAATTACATGCGCAGGACATAGATAACCTCTTGCAACGTAACTGGGTATCCGTCAATGTCGCTCGCGTGTATTACAGAAAAATAAGCTTCAATGCACGAGCCCTCAGTCGTTCAGAGCTCTGTCAATTAAAAATGCTGTACTGGTCGTCTGGCTTCAGTATTCCTGCTTCGGGAATCTGGAATTCTCACCTCTGAGGAGAAGCAAACTGGGACCTGCTGGCTCTTAAGCCTTGGAAACTGTCAGAAAGATTTGCGATTAGCTGCATCCAAGTACCAATTTCTTTGACCAGCCACCTACAGCACACTAAGCCAGATAAAATCACAATTACATGTGCGTGACATAATATGCCTCTTGTGACAAAACTGGGCACATGTTTTGTCGCCTACAGCAACACTGAAGCCAGACAGACAAGCGATACGGCATATTTAATTGACGGAGCTCAGAACGACTGGGGATGCTTTCACTGAAGCTTGTTTTGCTACAATACACGCTTGTATTGCAGCAAAACAAGCTTCAGTGAAAGCGTCCCCAGTCGTTCTAAGTTCCGTCAATTAAATATGCTGTACCGCTTGTTTGGCTTCAGTATTGCTGCTTCAGAGCAAACTAGAAAATCTGGAATCCTCACCTTTGAACGAGAGCGAACTGGCACCTGCTGGCTTGTGGGCCGTGGAAACTGCAAGAGAGAGTTTTGATTAGTTACGTACAAGTAACAATTTTTTTCGAGTAGCTGCCCACAGCACATTCAAATTACATGCACGGGACATAGATGCCTCATGCGACGGACCCCCTTCATCCTTGTTTTCCATTAACTCTGCTCACCTTCACCACCCGCCTCCAATTTCTGCGCTACTTCTTTAATCTCGATTCCCTGGTTCCCAAAGGCCATGCCATGGCTTGTGCCAGTCACAGGTCTGTCAGCTCTGCAACTGGCGCCATCGTGGCAAAGACGCCAAAGCACCTGGCGCTTGATGTGCTCTTTTAATATTTTGAGCATTGCTGAAAACAGGTTGTTGGGTGTCTGGTATGCCCTTTGATTAGTTGCGGATCGTTTCGATTCAGAGGGTAGGCGCTTCTGCGATCTGAGCGCATGCTCGGTATTTAACAATAGTTGAAATTGAACTCTGCAGGAATCTTCAATCATAACAAACAGAATGTGCATGCCAAAAGGCTTAGCAATTGAAACACTCACCATCTATCTATTTTCGTTTCTTGCCCGCAAGAAGCTGTCGTATATGTAGCCTCCCTTGCTTAAGCCGCTCCTCCCTAGTGTCCCGGTTGGGTCTCATCCTGATGAATCGTCGGTGGAGACCTGAGGTGCAGTCCACATCAGATTAGACCTTTTGAGACAGAACCATATACTTGCTGGGAGGAAGTACACCCAAACGAATTTTAGCCATGTCATTTATAGGGAGTTTTAAAATGAAAGGCCTGACGTAAAATGAGACGTCAATACTGACGCACCCCTTTTGCGAACCTAAAATTTTGAAGGCCTTGTCCCCCTAGCTAGGGGGACAAGGCACATGAATCCCGGCATGTGGATGAAATTTTTACCTTAAGATCCTGACTCAATGCCCATCCCCGAATATTCAACCACCACACTTTTAGAAAAAGATAACTTTTTAGAAAACACCAAGTCATCGACCACCCCTACAAAAGCCTGAACCAAGCCTACTCGTACCATGGCTTGTTTGCTCCGTGCCGCCTTGAGTTAATTCGGGCTGACAATTTGTTTTTCAAATGGAACCCAGATTCTTAGTTTTGGTTTCACTTGTAGAGGCAGGTGGATACTTTTGTAAAGCTTCCTCCTTATGCGCTTCTGAGTCAACATTTTTGCAATGGCCAACCCCCGGGCTGTGATTTTTGCGCTCCTTGACAAATGCTGAAACTCATATAGCAGTGATGTGATTGGCCTAAGCCGTTTTGGAGCAGAAAAAGTGGCCTTTGGAGCAGCCAAAACAGTGTTTTGGAGCAGCAAAAGTAGCTTTTAAAGCAGATATTCTAATAAAAATAAAAATATTTGTTTTAAATGCTGGACACGCGAAGAGAATCATGCTCGCCGAAATAAACAAATTATGGTGAAGTTCGGCCACCTGGGAGTCTTTCAAGATGTAACTGAAATGCCAATGACATGACACATTTCGTTTTGCTTTTCGAAACATTCTGCAAGGCTGGAGCAAGCTTTGCTTTAGCTTAGGGTAGTAATGAATGTCCAATTTCAATGTCTCCAAAGAAATATTGCGACATCCCACAAGTGTACAGTGCTGTAGGCATTGTCAAGCAATTCCGAAAAACTGCTTGCCACCGTTTTACTGGTTGCCGACGTGCCAGATTTTCGTCAAAACTAATTAAATGTAAAACAAGGAATTGCAAGCGTCCCGGCTGGTGCCTCTGTTGTGCAATTATGTTCGCATCGTTGGTTCACATGCACGTAGGGCAACTCCTGCAGGCTTGCAGGTCACGTGCTTCGTCGCGCGAGCGAAACGGCTGTTCGATCGAAACCGAAACCATGCCTCTCCGCTCTGCCGCCAACTGGTTGCCAAAAGTCTATGCAAAATGTAACTGCACAGCGTGCGACAAAAAAGAGTCCAGCGCCACGTGCTTGCAAGGCCGGCAGGTGAGGTATGAGATAAACACAGAAAAAAAGAACCTGAGTGCATTGATGCAAGACATCGCGAGCCAGGGTCGCTTTGTGCAACGACTGAACTCGAGACAAACAAGC